AGCATATCCATATAGTTTGTTTTTCTTACATAGACTCTTTATTCTGATGTACACTTTGTGAATTCTAGCTATATCAGAAAATTTCAATTATTGTATTCCAAGCTTTAGGGGTTTGTTTAGCTTCATATATAGCCTTTATTAATCATAACATTTTATCATCTTAGCATTTTAGCTAAAAACCAAATGACTACATAACATAAACTTTATCCTCTAATGATTCATTCAAGAAGTAGATTTTACATATATTTGATGCATGGACAAACCTCTATAACTTGTTATTGCTAAAACTATTCTAATTGTCTCAATTATTACAACTGGTGCGAGAACTTCATTAATATATGGATTGTGTCTTTGAAGGAACCCTCTTATCACTAGCATTGCTTAATACTTAGAAATTTTACCATTTGACCTCATTTTGATCTTACAGATCTACTTCACATCAGTTAGATTTTTGTTAACTGGTTTTTATACTAGCTTTTAGATTTTATTCTTCTCAATTTCCTGAAATCTTCCTTCAAGACTGCTACCCAATTTGAATCACTTAAGGTTTGATTCAAATTGAATGGCTTTAGCTCTGAAATCATGAGATCAATAATTAAGTCATTATCTCCAGTAATTAGATGATCAAGAATCATATCGTAACCTTCTAACATGTTCGATTGTGTTATATTCATACTCAATCTTCTTATAACTTATTCATAAACCTCATTGTTTAGTTGCTTCTCCACTAAATAAAATTCTTGTATTAGATTCACTTTTATCTTCAGATATATGACATGTGTTCTATTTGCCTAATTTCTAATTCCAACTTTTGTTTTCATAAAAAAAACACATCCATCTTGATTACCACCTCATTTTTTTGGAGCATACAATTTTTATGCACAAGTAGAATGATAACCTATGAGAATAATTTCTTGACTTCTATCATTTTTCTTCTGATTTCTTCTATAACTTTTATAAAATATACTAAGCCAAAATCTTTAAATGACGAGCACTACATTTTTTACTCTTCCATGCCTGGTGTGGTGTCTGAATCACAAGCTTCTTGGTTAGGCTACTATTTACGACATGCATAACAATTAAAATTTTGTCACCTCAGAATCTATGAGCCATATTCTTCTCTTTAAACATATTTTTTAGTCATATTCAATATGCTCATATTCTTTCTTTTTGCTGTCATGTATATGGTGAAATGATTTCATGCTTTATCTTTTTTTGCTCGCAAAACTGTGCTAATTCCATAGAAATGCTTTATCCTTTGTTTATCACAAAAAAATTTCTATGTCATTTTAATGTCGTGTATATGGTGGAATAATTTGATGCTTTAAATTTCTTGAACATTGTAAGCACATAATTTTTTTCAATTAGATAGAGCTACACGAGTCTAGTATACTCATATATGGAGGTCCGAAAATAACTATTATATCCTGTGCATTTTGTTACAAATGGATCATGTTGTGAATTGATGTCGTCATGAACAAACCAAAATATGAGAAAAAGATTTGAGTTTCTTGAACAAACGCAAGAAGCCCTATTAGGTTTTACAAAAGGGAAAGAATAAGGAAGAAGAAGAATAGAGAATTGATTAAATCTATTTTTCTATTCACTTTCTCAATAAGGGTTCAAAGATTACAAGTGAATACCAACAATTAACCTCTCTCAACAACCTGAGAGAACTAACATATTTATAGACTACTAAGCTAACTTGAATAGCAAGCAAACTTAAACAATTGGGCTTAGAAGCAAGACCCAATTCGACATACTAACTTAAATTACAAGTTAATATATTTCGACATTATGCTCAAACAAGCTTCGACTACAACATACACAACTCATGTCGAACCATGAAGCTTCCCTTGTCGACACTAGAGCTTGATCCAAATACCACTAATCTCCACCTTAGAACAAACTCTATAATAAGGGAACAAACTAGCTTTCATCATCACATGCTTAACACAATGGCACTGTGGGCTTTTTCGACCATCATTTCCTTCTTCTTCTGCGATATGGCAACATTCGTCTTCTCTGATCCTTTCAACACTTCTAACAAACCCTATTGAACAAGAAGGGATTTCATCTTCAAGCAACACAAACTGAAATCACTTATATCGGTGAATTTCTCAATCTCATACTTTGTTGACAACATCTTCTCCTCAACTATCACGATACCAGTTTGTTGTGAATTAATGTCGTCAATAACAAAATAAAGTTATGAGATAAAGATTGATTCTCTTGAACAAACACAAGAAACCCTATTAGGTTTTACAAAAGAGATAGAAGAAGGAAGAAGAAGAAGAATAGAGAACTGGTTAAATTTGTTTTTCTATTCACTTTCTCAATAAGGGTTCAAAGGTTACAAGTGAATACCAACAACTAACCTCACTCAACATCCTGAGAGAACTAATCTATTTATAGACTACTAAGCTAACTTGAATAGCAAGCAAACTTAAATAATTGAGCTTAGAAGCAAGACCCAACTTAACATACTAACTTAAGTTACAAGTTAATATATTTTGACATTATGCACGAACAAACTTCAGCTACAACATGCACAATCCCTTTCGAACCATGAAACTACCCTTGTCGACACTAGAGTTCGATCCAAATACCACATATCACATACATCATAGTACACCATTTCCAATTTCTACTTTGACTTTATTGGCAATTAACCTCTAAATGACCTTCTAGTTTATTTTCTTCATATAATTCTTCACAAACCTCATTAGTGATTTGATCTATGGAAATCTATACACCATTCTCTTCACGTTGATCATATACATGCTCTTAAAATTTAAATGACCACATCTCTTGTGCCATATTAATTTGTAGTTGAACTTGTGTATCAGGCAAATCACTAATGATACAATAAAGTAATTTCAATCCTGAAAGTCCTATTACCTCGAAAATGAGCCTTCAAGATCAATATTGTAACTTATTATAAACTGTCAGCTCTCTATCAACCCGTTTCATGGAGTATTTTTTCTCAAATAACTAATATAGGTTTATTGAATTACTTATCCTGGAAGGTACATACAACATATAATTGAGGATGGATTTATGGATCTTGCCTCCCTAGAAGTACAATTTCAATCCCTTTTTGACATTGCCAGAGTGTCATCTACAAACTTGACACTCATCCTCATAGAATCATCAAGTTTTTGAAGCCACTGCTTGTTCTTGATCATGTGATTGATGCACACATTATCTAAGCACCACATATTATATTTATCTTGATCTAATTCTTTTCCGGCCATTATAAGTACACTTTCTGAATGATTATTATCTACTTGTGCAAGTTAAGTTTATCCTTTATGATCTTCATCACTATTATTTGAATAATGTTTCCTTGCATAATGACCATGTTTTTTTTTTTTTAAAGTTGTAACATTATACATCTTTCTAGTAAACTTTCATCTTAGAATTGTCGTTCCTTGCACTACCATTCTTGCTTGACTCTACAACATGATTCTTTGCATTCTTGTTGAAGTTTTCAAAACCTTCTTTTTTCCCTTTTTCCACTTCTCCTTTTCATTGTAGCTCATAAATTCATCAGTTTTCATCTTCTTCTTTATCATGGATTGCAAATCTTTCTCAATGTATTTCTCTAAATTCATTTGCTTTCTCCTCAGCTCACAAGCTTCAAGTGAGGCTAAAAGATCTTTTATCTTCATTGTAGCAATGCCCTTTGATTTTTCTATTACAAAAACAATGTAACTAAAGCTTAGGATTAAGAGTCTCTATACCCTTTTCAACCTTCATCAACTCAATAATTATTTCTACATATGTTTTAATTTGGTTAGTCACCCACTACTCATGGAGAAATTTAACTAATGATGCGTGTTCATTCATTTTGAGCATTTAATATTTGACCTTCTTAAGCTTATCACCACCATCATATGTCTTTTTTGAGTGTGTTCTACAAACCTACAAAGGGTTCTTTAATTATATTCTCAAAGATATTTCGATCAACATACTCATGAACAAAAACAATCTATTTCCATCTTTCTTTGTTTACGATGAAATGTTCTTTTCACCTTAGTTGCATTATCTTCTATTGATGCAACTCTATCATTCACGGTCTCAAAATCATTTTAAAATTTAAAAAATCACTTTCAGTTTCACACAATCTACAATCGATCATAGTGTACTTCTCTAAATACTGAAAAATTTATAGAAACTATTTTTGAGATTGTGTTTGAATTTCTCTTTGATCTTGAAATTAATGATATTAATTGTAGTTAATTTTATACTAAAAATGAATAAAGCATATTCCCTTCAATGAATAAATGAATAAAGCCGCTAAATAGATAAGATTGACATTAAGTCGGAAGCGTGAATGTTGCTAAGATCACACTCAAAATTTATCTCCCAAACAAACATATTATAAATGCCAAACACACCTTGCATAAATAAATATATTTACTTATTAACACTTTATACAAGTGCGTGTGAAAGTTTATTACCAAAAATATTTTGTTTCCCAAGTTAAGCTTATATGATATGACCACACGGGATGCATAAAACGACACATCTCTATTGAAGAGGTACGTAAAATACGACATTATTACCTAAATCATACTTCATACGAATCACACCATATAACCACAAATTTGCAATATTTATTTATGAGACACGCCCATTCCATATCAAATATACAAGTCACTCTCCACCAAGTAGCGTAATATCTCTCACAAAGATCTTTCATAACCCTTTGTCTTATAATCAACCACGTTCCGCCAAATAGGAAACTAATGGCCTCCTTTCCTCTAAAATTTCCACGTGCTTTAATTATTCTTCCATACTCGTTTTATTATTTATTACAAAAATCAAATTAAATCAATTTTATTTTATTTCCCTACACACCGCATTGCTTAGGTCATGAAATATCAACTAGATTTCTTTCTTTCACTTCATATATAAAGGAAAACGCTTCTTCTTTTTCTCCTCAACTCTTTTTTCTTTCTTCTTCTTCACAAACCAAAAAACCAAAACATAACATGGATTGGGTACGAGGAGAATCAGTTGGTCGAGGAAGTTTTGCAACGGTTCATTTAGTCTTACCCAAAGTTACCTCTAATTCCACTCCGACAGCCGTCAAAACCTCCGAGGTTTCAACCTCGTTTTCCCTCAAAAACGAGAGACAAATTCTCGATCGTTTGGGTTCTTGTCAACAAATCATTCGCTGTTTCGGAGATGAATATACCTTCGAGAATGGTCAGGACTATTACAATCTGTTTCTCGAATACGCTTCTGCCGGTACTCTCGCCGATCAAGTTAAATTCCACGGTGGCCGGATTCCCGAACAAGATATTCGCGGTTACACGAGGTCAATCGTGGAGGGTCTTAACCATATTCATAGCAAAGGATTCGTTCATTGCGACATAAAGCTTCAAAACATTCTAGTATTCCACGATGGTGAAATCAAAATAGCTGATTTCGGTCTTGCGAGAAAATCAGGGGAGGAACAGAGTAGGTTCGAATGCAGGGGAACTCCACTTTTTATGTCGCCGGAATCAGTTAACAACGGGGAGTATGAGTCGCCGGCGGATATTTGGTCACTTGGATGTGCGGTGGTGGAGATGGTAACAGGAAAACCAGCGTGGAGTGTGGAGAAAGATTCATCTATGTGGTCGTTGTTGCTTAAAATTGGTGCCGGAGAAGAATCACCGGTGATACCCGAAGATTTATCAAAAGAGGGAAAAGATTTTGTTGAGAAGTGTTTTGTTAAAGATCCAAGAAAAAGATGGACGGCTGAGATGCTTTTGAGTCATCCATTTATTGAAAAAGTGAAGAATGTTATTGAAGTATCACCAAGAAATCATTTCGATTTCAATGATTGGGTTTCTAGTGTTAGTCATTCAGCTCCAAGTTCGCCGGAATCTGAAGAGTCGTGTCAATGGGATTTTGATTCTTGTTCTTTTTCGGGTGTGGATCGGCTCCGGCAGCTTGTGACGGTTGAAGTTCCGGTGAGTTGGTCGGAATCAGATAGTTGGATTAATGTTAGGTGAAATTGGATGATTTTTTTTGACAGTGAAAGAGAGTAATTAGAGGAGTAGAAGACGGCACATAGTGATTAATTTGATTCTGATTAGATTTATTAGGTTATTCAAATTGGGGAGGATTAGGTTCTCTTAATTTCCTTAGGTGGAAGAGTTTTAACAGGCGACGCTTTCGTCGCTTTTGTACAGAGGCTTGAAATTTTACAGCATGATAATATATGATTTTTTATTTTGCCTTTTTCTTAATTTTTAATTCTTTTTCCTAGACCTAAACTATGTATCACGGAGTAGTTTAGAATTTAGATTGAGCCGAGTAAGGGTTAGTTTGTTTAGGATTTTTAAAAATGATTTTGTTTTAAAAAGTTTTATTTTTAGATTTTATAAAAAAATTTGGAACTAATTTTTGTTGATGATGCTAGAAAAATAAGAGGCGGATTATTTGGGTATTTTGGTCTTTGGTTTGTAAATTTAAAGCTGACCGGGGGATTCGGAATAAAATATTATCGGACTTTTAGTGTTGTTTTGCTCAGCAAATAGATTTGAAAAATAGTGGATAATTAAAACTTATTATGAGTTCATATTCTATCCTTTAAGTACGAAAATTTAAGAAGTCAGCTGATCGAGTCTTCTATTCTGCCGTCTAGGCTTTCTTTTTGGTGGAGAGGTATTAGAGATATTGTTACTGATATGGGTTCAAATTTTGATTGGTTTTAAAACAACATTTTTTGCAAACTGAGTAACATCAACCTCTCAAAGAAAGCTTTCAAGCTCTTTTGATTTTTTTTTTAATCAAACTATGATTGTTTCTGATGCAAATTATTGGTCCAATAGTCTCGGGATTTAGAATTTAGAGATTTATTATCCAATTTTTATTTTCAAAATTCAAAATCCAAATGAAAGAACCTATGAGAATTATGTCTTCCTTCTTCCCTGATTCGAATGTACGTAGTTCTAACTTTTTGTCAATGATTTGTTTTATCGTTTAGATATCTAATGATCAAGCTAGTTACCTTCTTAACGGAAGTTTGTTATCTACAACTTTAAATCCCCAACCATGAAGTCTAGTGGCTTTAAGAGATCTCAACAACCTTGGACCCAAAAATAGTTAGTGTTAAGCATATTGTGTTGAACGCCATATCGTTTAAGACTGCGCCATCCTTGCATGGTTGGCGTTGAAAACCACACGGATCAGACGGCGGTAGGTTGTGTGGTCTATATGGTTGACAAGATATGAAGTTCTCTTTTACGTCCTTTAAATTTTGACCTAGATGATTGGTTTAGAAATCCAATAATAAAAGTATTTATTATTTAAAAAAAAACAGATTTGTTTTAAAACAAAATCTATATCAAATACACACTAAATTTGGACACAATTTTAAATTTATGATTTTTATATCAAAAACTAAAATTAAAGGTTAAAATAGGTTGAATTAGTTTTTGACTTAATTTTACAATATTATTCAATTAAATTAAAAAAAGTTAATTTATAATTTTTTTAATACTTACGAGTCAAGTTGACAATCATTGCTACAATCACCTTTGACCATAATTTTGACCATTTTCACCCAACCATTGACAACCATTACTTCAATTCTCATCAACAAGTACTCAATCAATTAATCCCCATTTCATCTATCTCCATTAGGGATGACAATGGGTAGAGCTTGGGCAGGGTCCTATAGTACCCGTCACCATATCCATAGTGTTACAAAATCCCCGTACCGAAGCCCATACCCGTGTGGGCACCAAAATTTGTACCCGTGCCCATACTCTGTAGGTAGCTAAGTATCCATACTCATATCCATTTATCCGTATTTCTAATAAAATATTATCGATGAATTATAATTTATCATGTCATTTTAAGAACATTAAAAAAATTCAAGGATATTATTGTTGAGTTAAGAAATAAACAAACACTTACATTAAAATGCGTACAAGTTTAATATAGATGTATTCAATAAAATGAATAAATATACATGTGTTTATAATAATAAAAATAATACTATATAAATATATATAGTGTGGGTATGGGGCGGGTTGGGTACTAAGGTACCCGTACCCGCACCCACATCCGAGTATTTCAGTGGGTAATTGCATGTGCCCATATCCGTAGCCATTTTGCAGATTTTTATCCTACCCGTTGTGGATAATTTTTGTGGTTACCTTATGGAGATGAGTCAAATTGTCATCCCTAATCTTCATCACTAATTCGACCACCATTTTGATTCTTAGTATGACTATCACCAACCACCATTAATCATCACCCCGATGACCATAGTCGCCTATAACAACCACTATTATTATTACTATTATTCTTGCTAGATTACAGTTTGGCGAGTATTGTTTGCGACATGATCGATCTTGTTGGTGTTGGCCCACCGCACATGGCCTCCAAAATTTATGGGCCTCAACATGGAGGTTGAACCTAATAGAAATATAATTTTTAACTAAATATATATTATATTTGTTAATTATCATTCATAAATTGCAACGTAACCCAACAACCATAATATCTTTTTGTGAGATTGAGATCGTGTGTTTGAGTCTCAACTTCAACGATTATAATTTAAATCTTAGTTTCACATGAAATACTACAACAGAGACTCGCCAATTAAAATAAATAACTAGAACAACTACGTTAGCTCCTACATTATTCACTACGTCAAAATATTTACTATTTATTTAACAAAAATTCATAATTGTCAGTCTAGTTTTGTCATTTATTATTAAATTAATTACAAATTATTGGTAAAAAAACTAACCACTAGATTAACTTCTACATTATTCAACATTTCAAAACATTTAGCATATATTTAATTAAAATTCATTATTGTCTAAAAATAAACTCAATTAAGTTTTTTCATTTATTATTATATAATATACATACAAGTTATTGATACAATATAACTCATAAATAAAATTGGCTTTCTTTATTATTATGAGTCTATTTTATAAATTATAACATGGTCTCCGAATCGTTAGGGACGATCCTAGTTGACGATATGTTATGATCAAAATACATGAGATTTAGTGTTTAAAGTAATTAGTGAATGATTAAAGTTTTTGATGAATCCCTTATTTATAGAGGTAGAGGTACTGACATTCACATTGGTCGTCGCATTCAAAGTATCAATCTTACTCGGATCGTAGCTAGTAGCCAAGTGACAAACGTGTGCATTGAAGTGTTGCCCCACTAGTTATATCCATTTACTTGCCATATTGGATTTTCTTGTAGATATTGTTTACTGGTGTTTTTGGTAAATAATCACTTAGTTTTAAAATTTTTGCTTGAAAGACTAACACTACTACCAAAAATGCTTTTTACCTCAGACGCGAAATGCATATTACCTCGACTATAGAAGCGAGGTAACGAATGGCAACATGAAAACTCGCCACTTATCACCTCGGTGGAGTTAAAATTGAGAGGTAAAGTTAAATGCACACGAGTTTGAACCCCACCAGCGACACTTTTATTATTTTCAAAACTAGCGTACCTTTCCTCTCGGTTTATTTTAAAAGTTGAGGTGTAAGATTATTTATTTATATTTTTTTTATAAAAAAATTGTTACATTGTTTACCCATAATATTACATTTTTTACCCAGAATATTACATTGTTTAAAATAAAAATAAAATTCCCTAGAGAATAAGGTCAAAATTAAATTCTCTAAAGATCTAAATTTTAGATCTTCGAATTATTAAATCATGGGGAAGATCAAATATTGGGTTCAAGGTTCCTCTCTTCGAATCCTGCATGCATTTGATTCTGAAGAAAAATAAAATAAGAGTTTGATAAATAAAATCAATATTCAAATATATATTTTGTGCTCAAATAAATATTTAAGAAAACAAACCTTAAAACCAAGTAATTTTCTGCTCTTGCAATCCATCTTAGAGAACTTTTCCAAACGTCTTTATGTTTCAAGCGCTTCATGTTCCATATAGGTTAGATTTGCAATGTTCAACATGCTTTTGTAATAGATGTCTCTTAAGGTTATTCCAAAAAATACAACAACGACAACATCAACATTATTATGTGAGATAGATTGCAAGAATATAAAACATATTTTGTTCAAGATAAAAGAACATTGAAAATTTTTATGTCTTGCAATCCATCCCAAAGAATGATGCTTGGGGCAACGTCATATTCGTAAGGATTAAGGTAAAATTTGTTTAACAAGTGCTTTTATAGTAAAATATTATTATTGTTTTTCCTCGGTTAAATAGAAAACCAAAGTGTTTGAACATTTTATTTACACTTATAAACAAATAGAGTCATAAATTGTGATAGCTGAGAATCGAAGCTTGTACAGATTTGTTTTTCACCTCGGTTAGCTCGCCTTAACTTTATACCTCAATTTTCTATTGTTCGAGGTGAAAGCTTCGTCATGAAAAAGGTTATTTGTTATAGTGCAAACTAGTAAGTTTTGGGGCAAGTTTGTGCTAAGTTTCTGGGGAAAGAATGTGCATTTAATGTTGTCGGATTGTTTGCATCGAATGTCGACTATTCGAGAAAAGTAGGTAAGTGTTTAAAGAGTGAAAAATACCCTTTTTGATCCCTTAACTATACCCTTGGGTTCATATTGGTCCCTTAATTATTTTTCGTGTCAAATTGGTCCCTTAACTCTTTAAACGTGTCATGTTGGTCCTTTTTGTCTAATTAGCGACGAATTTAGCGACCGATTTTTGAATTTTCTCGTCGCTAATTAGATGAAAAGGACTTACATGACACGTTTAAAGAGTTAAGAGACCAATCTGACACGAAAAATAATTAAGGGACCAATTTAAACCTAAAGGTATAGTTAAGGAACAAAAAAGGTTATTTTGCCTTGAAAGTAAATGCACTAACTGATTTCGATTGGGTCGAAACTAATTACTTAGATAGTAAATAAAATAAGTAAAAGTAATTTAAATGAAAAATAAATTTATTTGCATAAGGGTAAAAGTGTTAGGCAAATACATTTTTTTAGAAAAAGTGTTTCTCGCTTGCGTACGGGTACTTTGAGGGTAC